CAATATTCATCCTATAAAACTTATTGTATCAACTTCACCTTATATTCCTTATTCAAAACATTTGATCGAACATCTACTTAATGAGTTATGAATCTATATTATTCATTTTTGATTATTAGATCTCTAATCTCTTATTCTAAATTTTTTGATTTAGTTTCTTCTTTCTCCATATTTGTATTTTCTATAATCATCTAAAGTATAATCATCATCATACATTTCTAAGCATTTCTCTTAATTCTTTATTATTTTAAATTTTTAATCTTGTTTTTGATATATCATTTATTTGTTAAAGTATTAATTAATCTTACTTTTGATCAAGCTTAATAACAACAATAGATTACTCTAAAACTTAATCTATAATCTTTATCCATCTATTCTATTCTCTACTATCTCTAAATTAAAGTCGTTTTATCTTTTCATTAGTATACTTCATTACTAAAAGGCCAATAAAAACCAAAAATATTGTCAAACACATTGCTGTATATTCTAATGTCTCTGTAGGATAATAAGTAACATATTAAATATATATAACAAGTAATGCTATAGCCTAGGGCCATATTTAATAACCAAGTTGCAATATTGCTTTTAAAAATTTTATTATTAATTACCGAAATGAAAGTAGAATGCTTGAAATCCATAATACCAGTTATACTCATAGCTGGCATCATAATCATAATTTGGATCTTCAGTTGTTGTTGGAAAAAAGTTGTCTAAATTCCAAATATAAGCTATATAAATTTATAATATCGGCAATATATATTCATTCCAAGCAGGATGAGAATTTATAATGAATTTTAACAATACTATTGATAACATAAAAGCTAAAATATTTGCTACTATTATTCCATTAAATGTATATTCTTGAAAGTAGTATAATATATATGCTGAAAAAAATAACTAGAATCAATATTATTATTACAATAGTGTGTATAGAAAAGAGTGTGAATTCTTATTTAATGTAGTTTTATTACAAATTTCTATAATCGTTTTCTATGCTTTTCGATTTAAAATTTAGAGTGAATTTATTAATTATCATTGTGGCTTATTTATTTAATTTATTGTATTTATAGAGTTACTTTTCAATCCATTAATTTACATAAATATACTATATATTTTTGCTAGTAAGAGAAAAATCAATCATAATATAATATCTAATTAAGTATCAAACTAAAATCATATTATTTTATTTATATTCAACTAATAAAAAATGTTAATTATAAGTTCTTAATTTTCAGAAAATGAAATTGAGTTAAACTTCCTAGTTTTGGATAATTATTAAAATTAAATACACCAATGTTTATATTAAAAAATACATTGCTTGTTTCATTAATTGAAATTTTAATTATTTTAATTGAACTTTTTAATAATATATTAGGTTTTTAAAGCAACCTATATTTTTATTTATTAACTAACTCTTATATATTTATATAATTATTTATAATTAATATTGTATTTATAATGTACAAAGAATTAGAAGCAGCAATTAATAATATTGATGAGTAAACAGAAAAATAATTATAAAATACTATTACCAAATTGGTTAAGGCATTTTCCTTATGTGTGGAAAATGAAAAAACAGATTGCAAAAAATATTCAACACTTTTTGATCCTTTAAAACAGAGTCTTGATTAAGAGAAATAGGGACTTTATAAATGTATTGATGAGAATCAGATTACATCTCAATAATGTATACAAACCTTTTAGAAAAAGTCATTATAAATAATTTTTCAATAATTATCAAAAATAGAAAAAGAAGTAAAGTGATTAAGATTGACAAATATAATGTTATATAAGTGTTTCTAGATATTATAAATATAATCGAGAACAACATTCTTTAATTACTATAAGTTTCTTAAATAATTAATTAATGAAATATACATTATTAAATTAAAAACATTAATTAATTCAATTTCTTATTTAAATATATATATATAAATAATTAATATTCTCAATAAAGCTATATGAATTATATATCTCCTATTATAATACAAGTATTTTATGAAATTCCTATTACTGCATAGTCTTTGAGTTCTATTTTAGCAAAATAATTATAAAAAACATTGTTGTAGTATTTTTAAATATTTCTATAATGCTTTTATTTGATTTTCTGTAAAAATACTGATGTATTATAGGAATCAATAATTCCTTATCTTATCATAAAATAAATAAAGATTATAATAAATTAATTTCAAATTCAATTACATCTTAATATCTAATTGATAAAATAAAGAATTTTATAAGTATCTAATAAAATAAATCAATATAGATTTATATATGAAATGAGTAAATCAAAAACAAAGAACTTTCTTAATATTAAAGAGATTAAGAAAATATTGAGTAGTAACATCGAATTCTGGGTATTAAACTATTTCAATGCTATCATATTTCAATTTTGCATGTTAAATTTAATCATCTTTATCATAAAGTCCTTTTATTTTTTATTCTAAAATTGCAAAGTGTTATTATATTTATTATATTCTTTTTTCAATATCAGTTGAATAATATTCTTATTCAAAATTATTATTTAGTGATGCTAATAAAATGAGACTGCTTTCAGAATTTGATAAAGTAGTAATCTTTTTCATAAAGGTCTAAAATATTTCTCTTATTTCTAATTTAATATTTTAATATAATTTTTCTAAAGTGGCAATAATATATTTATATTGCTAAAAACAATTTTCTTTGAAAATTTGATCTCTGACGTATTCACATTAACAAAGCCATAATTATTGTGTATTCCAGTTTTAATATTAAGTTTTGACTCCATCAATATAAGTATATACTTATTTAATTCTAATTCTTGATATACCATCCACCTAAACTTGAAATCCTTTATTTGTTTTTTTAATACTCTTTATTTAAACTAAATCACCATTAATCAAATCATTAGAAACTATAAAATTTCCTGAACCTGAGCTAACCATTTTTATCATTTCTTAATATCTGAATTCTAAAAATTGAAAATCTGTCTATCCATATATAATAACTGATTAATCAAAATGGAATATTGGAATACCAAATATGCTCTCAATTTATTAAACTTAATTAATTTCTTATTCTTCCTCTATTTTGAATTCCTTCAAATACCAATCAATAAGATCTTTATATTTCTTATTTGTATTGACTTTGATATTAAAACAATAATCTGAACAAGCAGGACATAATAATTCTTCTTTTAAACTTTCTTCTATGCATTTTTAACAAAACATATGCTAACATGAAAGCACAACTGGATTTACAGGTGTTAAACCACAACAAAGACATATTATTAAGGAAGGAAATTCATTTAATAAACCTAAATTTAAAGATAGATTATACTTTAAGTTCCTTCCTATTCATAAATTTATTGGACTATAGGTAATAATTCATCAGTTTTATTGTTACTAAGTAAAGCAGGTTAACGACATAAGGGACATGCACAAAATTCTTAAGTTTCAAAAGAATTTTATATGCAATCTTAGCAAAAAGTGTGCCCACAACTCAAAGACACTGGATTTTTTAAATTCTATAGGCATATTGAGCATTATAGGATGAATTTCATTAATAAAAATATCAAATAAATTCTTGAATAATCATGGCTTATTTATAAGAATTTTTAAGAATTTCATAATTCTCAAGAATGATATTGTTTTAAGATCCTATCAAATAGTATTGATGTAAATCAAAGAATTTTATATTCTATAATGATATTCTTGTCATATCATTACTTTATTTTATCTTTCGATAATAATATATTTTCTAACTTTATTTTATTGTATAAAATACAAAAAAACCTCAATCTGAACAAGAATATTGTTGATGAATTAGTTTAAAATATTTATAGTATTTTTTTTTTCAAGAATATTATTAAATGAACTTTTTGTATTTGATTACTATTAGGATTAAAAATAATAATACTTTGATTCATTGCACCATGAAATATCAAATGAATATGAAGATATTCTCCAAATAAATCATCCTATGTTATATTAAAAATAAATAATATTGATTAATTATTCTAAAATTAAAATTAAATAAAAAAGTTGAAAAACATTATTAATATAAAGAATTATTATTCTTTATCATTTATTTAATAAATTTCAAAGTATGATAATATATTTAAATTTGTTCCTATTTTTTATTTTGTAGTAGAAATATAAATATATATTAAATTAATTCAACGATTGTATTATATTTTTAATTTAAAATTTGAAGTAGAGTATATGCCTCATTATCCAGAGGAGATAGAATATTCTGACAAATATTTTGATGATTATTATGAATACAGGCATGTTATCTTGCCCAAACACATATTTAAAAAAATTACTAAAGGTATTTTACCTTGTTAATATAGGAAAATTATTAAATGAAATGGAATGGAGAGCAATAGGTGTACAATAATCTAGAGGATGGATTCATTATGAAACTCATAGACCAGAACCTCACATTTTATTATTTAGACGCCCCAAAAATACTGACCCAAATACTGGTTTACCACCTCCAGGATTTAGTGCGCCATATTGATAGTTAAATAATGAATATTTAAAATTAACAAAAGAACACTAAATTAGGTTCCAAGAAAATAATTAGTTCTAAATAATGATTCACTTTTTCTCTAAATTGTTTCCAATCTATATTTCATAATAAGGATGTAATTTAAACTCAAAAACTATTTTGATCAAATTTATTCATTAAATTTAACAATAATACAAAAAATCACTTCAATATTAATATCTCTTGTAATAAATAGAATGATGATGCTTATAATAAATTATGTTTAATGGTAAATTTCTAATCATAAAAGATAATATTAGTGCATTTCATGTTTTATTTAATATATATATATCAAATAATTTATATTATGAACATTTAGCTATTTTTATTTGATTTCTTTAACAATGAAACTAAATATATTTGGTTTGTTAGTTTATTTTTTTATATATCGAATGTAAATTTATATAAAACGGACAGTTGTTCTGTATTTGTATTTATTAACAGTAAATATACAATGTTTACCTGGAATGCTAAATGATTCATAAGATATCGCAAGCAAATTACAATGTTAAATATCAAAAGAAGTTAATGAAATATTGCAAATAGAAAATATTAATCGAAATGAATATGGAATTTATAGAACTAAAAAAGGACACCTTATAAAATTTGATGAATTCAATGACTATATCCTCGATTAAGATGTTTTAGTTTACATTGATAAAAAAGTGAAAAGTTAATATATTGTAAGATTCATCCATAATCATTTTAGATGTAACTTGAATTTGAAAAAAATTATGATATTGAATAATATGTTATAGAGGGTAGAAATTATGTCTACATTAGAACAAAATTAATGAATATGTAGAATAAATAAGAGATAATAAATTTGCATTTATTAAATATTTATTAACAAGGGTCTATTAAATAACTAATATAGGAAACTCTTAATGGACTTTAGTTTAGCTTTAAATTTAAAGATTAATAAGATTATTTTGTATAGATAATATTTGCTACTTTGTTTGATAATGATTTTAAGGGAACTGAATCATAAGTGAATAATCTAGTTTAATAAATATCAAAAAATTATGTTTCTTGTCAAATAAATGAATGTAAAAAGGATAAGGAACTATTTAATTTACTTTAAAATATTTAATTATAATAGATTCCTCCAAAATTTATAAAAGAATGTATACATTTAAATATATAGTTAGGTTCATTAAAGACATCACAATCTATTTAGTATTATACTCTAATAAACTAAATTTATGCTGCAAATATTGAATTGGAAGAGAAGAATGAAATAAATTTTAATATTGAATTTACATTAGAATGTATAAGATTGATAAATTACATTGAAGAAAGAAATCATATAAAGATGGAATTTGATTAATACTTTTGCATTGATAATTTGATATATCATTTTAGATTTAGTTCAAGTAGAAATTATTGATTAATTTAAGTTAGTTCAAAATTAATAAAGATTTAACTATTATGTAATACTCATTTAAGTTAACAATGATATCAACCAAAATCAATTAATAGAAGAATTGTTTTTTATAATAGAGAACTTAAAATGTTAAAAGAATATATAACAAAATAATCACAATGTAGAAAAAATCATCTAAATGAATTCTTCATTTATTTAACAATAATAAAATTAAAATAAAGAAGGAATTAAAATTTAAGAAGATCCTAAAAAAAACATATTTATTGAAGAAAATATAATGATTAACATAGATGAAGGAATTTAGTAAATTAATACCTAATCAAAATTATTGTATTCTAATAATAATGAAAAAAATGAGGGAACACAATTCATACAAATCAATTAATCTTAAGGAAGCATACCTTAAGTTGAAATTAAATAAGACTTACCATTAGAAGAAGATTAAGATATTAAAATATAATAATAACAATTTGATACTTAAAATATAATTAATGATGACATCTTTGATTAGCCTTTATAAGTTGAACAATAATAACATTAATAAAGACTAAATTAGATAGATTAATATGAAAAGAAAATAAAAGAAACTTAAGAAATTCAAGAATCTATCAATTTTAATAATTCTGATAAAAAATAATAGTAAGAATAAAAAATTGAAAATATAGTGTTTGATGAATATAATTAATCTAGATTATAATAGTAGGATAATTTAACAAATTAAAATATCATAGAAAAATAGTTATAAAACAATTAATAAGTATAATAACATAATCATTAAAATTAAATTTAAGATGATCTTCAAAATGAATAATAACATCATTATGATTAATATGAATCTCATTAAAATCATCATCATCATCATCATAATCATCATTATAATGAATAATTTAGAAGTATTTAATATGAAGATGAATAATCTTATTCTGAATATGAAATACCAATCCATCATCATCATCACCATCATCATCACTCATTCCATCATCATAATCATTAATTAGATAATACTTTTTAAGAAAATGATGGTTATAATCTAAGAGGTTAAAATGTAGTTTCTAAAAGAAATAATTTAAGGGGTAACAAATTTAGAGATGATTCTTTGAATAACAATAATGATCCAGAAATAATTGATAGAATCATTATAGAATATAATTTTTCTTAAAGAGAAAATGATGAATTATAAGAACAATAGTAATAATAGCCAAATTAAACAAAAAAAGATCATAAAAAAGAAAATCCTATACCAGGCCCTAAAAAATAATAAATCTAATATGGAGATGATGAATCACAATAATCTAATAATAAAAACACTTAAAATCAAAATAAAAATCAATAGAGTATTGATAATCAAAATAAAAAATAAAAAAGTAAAACATAAAGTCAATCAAATGATGCAGAAGAAGGGGAAAATAATGAATAAGAGAATAATGATTAAACATAAAATGATAAATAAATTGAATAAAATGAACCAAAAAAATCATCTACTTAAAAATAAAATAATAATTAAGATAAGGACAATAAATAATAATAAAATGCGTCTTAAAATAAAAATGCAAAATCATTAGATAAAAGTGGAACAAATTAATAGGAGGAAGAAGAAAGTAATCAAAATAATAATGAAGATGATGAAAATAATTCAGAATAAAAGGCTAAATCAAAGAATAAGAATAATAAATAAAAAAATTAAGAAAATTAAGAGGAAAATGAAGCATAGAATGAGAATGATGATGAAGAAGTTAAATAATAAGAACAAGATTAAGAATAAGCAGAAGCAGAAAAAGAAAAAGAAAATGAGGATGAAGAAGAAAAAGAGGAATAATAATAAGATGAAAATCAAGAAGAATAAGAGGAGAATGCTTAAGAAAAATAATAGGATAAGCAAAAGTCCAAGACAAAAAAAAAATAATCTAAAGAAAATGATAAGGAAAAAGAAAAAGGAAAGAAAAATAAATAAAAAACTTAAGATTTAGAAGAGGAAAATAATGAGAATGAAAATATTGAAGATGAAGAGGAATTATATGATTTTAATGGTAGATACATACCTAATGATCCATTTTATGAACATCGAAAATCAAAAAGAGGAAGATTTCCTTTCAACTATCCAACTAGAGATCCATATCAAGATATGTTTGAAGATGAACGATTTTGGAGATATGAAACTATGAGAAGACAATAAGTAAGGTTTCCTTTTAATGGATATCCTTATAGACATAGAAAGTAAACAGTTGATCATTCACCTTTTCCACATGTTAACTCTTATTATAAAATGCATCCTTATTAGCAATAGACTTATCATTGTTCACCTTGGGTTGGTAGAGACTTTTATCCTGATACTGGTTATGGAATGAGTAGAGTAACAGCTGCTTATAAGGGTAGATATACAGATCCTGATTAAGTGTTAAGAGATTTAACAATAAAATAATAATAATAAAAACAATGGAAAAAATCTATTTAATAATATAGAGATTAAGTAGGATATAAGTAAGGGGACTACGATCTAGACTTTTAGCCAGATTATTCTTAATCATATGATAATATTGTATAATAATATCCTGATTATGATTCAACTATTTAAGATCCAAGTTAATTTCAACCATATGAAGAAGAATAAAAAAAGACTTATGATTATTTGAATGATCCTTAATATAAATTTAGATAGGGCAAAAAACCATTGGTAAAAAATGATAGAATAAAAACATTTAATCGTTATTAGGAGGATACAAATGATTGTTTTGTGGTTTATGATTAATGCAATTTTTAAGGAAATAGATTAGATTTATGTGGAGAATATCCTGATATTCCATAATATATAAATGGATTTAAGATTTTCTCTTTTATTGTACCTGATAATTTATAAATAAGATTTTTTCAATCAACAGATTTTGAAAGTATTAATATTATTTAAATAAATTAGACAATGTTTAAAATGTTGAAGGAACATCTGATTGTTTAAAAGTACCATATGAATTAGTTCCAAATTTATAATAATGAATAAGAATTTAATATAATCATCAAAATTTGCATCTAAATTTATACTTTTCATCAATTTAATCATCAAAATTCTTATTAAAAATTTAAGAATTAAGTAATAAATTTTTAGACAATTCATATTTATATATTTATTCGTAATTTGTTTAACTAGTTCTTTAATAAAATGTAGAAGATCTTTTCCAAGTATTTTAAAATTATTATTATTATTTTGGAGCATAAGCATTATGATCTTAAGGAACTTGAACTGATTAAAGTAAACTTTTAGTTCTGTATTTACCACTTGAAATTAATGATGAGATAACTTATTTTTATTAAAATTTAGAATTCCATAGAATCTTTTCTACTATTTCAAAAGTTGTTAATACTCCTAAATGACATTTAGGATTTAAACATTTAATTTCTCCACCTAATATTTCACCAATTCGTATTACTACATTTTAATTACAACATTTTGACATTGGACAATAATCAGTATCTGAAAAATAAATGTAAAATAATTTAGAAATTGGATGTTGACAAATCAATATATTTTGTATTTCAAATTAAAGTTCTTAAAATAATTCACGCATTATTTTATATATTATTAAATTTCTTTTATCAGATGGATGAAGAGATTTTATATCCTTTTCGAACTTAACTAAAAATTATGAATTAATTACTTTCTTTCAAAAGCTAACGGTAGGAGACTTATTTTTTAATCACTAATAATTACTTTTTTAAAAATTGATTAATGGATAAACATTGCTTCCAAATTGGTTAGTATTTTCATTTTCAGTTTCTATTTATCTATTTAATTCACTTATTGCTTTAATTTCTACTTTTTCTCTTTGTTCACTTTTTGGATTAGTTTTAAATGGTATATCATCTAATTATATTTTGTAAAATTTTTAATTTGGTCTTGTTGATTATCTTGCAGTGGATCCCTTTGATAAATTTCCAGTTTATCTATTTCTATATTATAAATATTATTTATTATACCTTCTACTATAGCAAGAATGAATTGAAAATGTTGAAATTACATCAAGCATATTTAACATTGATAAAACAATATTATTTAATAATAATTATAAAATTATAAATCAAATAAATTTAAGTTAATACAAATACTGATTATTATTTTGTTATTCTTAACTTTTTTTAACAAAATTTGTAATTTAGAGTTGATGAAAATATATAATATTTTAGATTCTTAATCTTTTAAAATTTTATAATAATAATTTTCAGTAAGGTTTATACATGAAAACAACATAATTCTTTATTTTATTAAAAGATATTTATTTTTATTATTGATTAACTTTTCTTAATATATTAATATTAGATTATTTTAGTAAATACTTGCCACAATTTTCTAAACTTATTACATTAATTATGAGTTTTTATGTATAAATATTTATATAACTTAATTGTATAAATGAATATAATCTATCCTAGTTAGAGGAACTAACATGAATTGTCAATCATCGATACTGATACTAGTGATAAAGAGGATAACACTTTTGAGATTGAGTAAAATAATTTTTTAAATATTTTCAGTGTAAAGCCTTCTAAAAAACACTTCGTAACAATTCAAGAAAAAAAATAATATATAGAAGAGTATACTAAGAAGAAAAAAACTGAACTCTGTAAGAATTTTGTCATGACTGGAAAATGTAAGTATGGCTTTGAAGTATTTCTTTAATTAAATTTAAGTGTTCATTTGCTCATGGTGATATTGAATTATAGCCTAAAACTCATTTGCATTCAAAATATAAAACTAAACCATGCAAAAGATTCTTCTAATAAGGATATTGTCCCTATGGAATAAGATGTCAATATATTCATGATGAATTAATAAATAAAACTGAATTTGATGGATTTCTATAAAATTCTTATAAAGAACTTGGTCTTAAAGCTCCAATTTCATCAAGTAATATTATAAATTATATTATAGAATAATTAAAATCCGATTTAAGAAACGATATTCAAAGATTTATTATAACAATGAATAAAAAAAATATAGATTAGGAATTATTTGTATATAATAAATCTAGACTATCCTTTTTTAAATAAATAACAGATCCTTAATATAATTTCTTGTCAGATGATTCTCAAAAAAAATTGAGGTCTAAGGCAAATAATTGTGATTATTGATTTATTTTTTATATTTAATTAATACATTAAATGTCAGAATAACATCTTTTTATAACTGAAAATAAACATATATTACCTACTTTAGAAAAAATCCACCCTGATCAAGCTAAGAATATGTAAGAACTTTGTAAAGAAATGGAAGGATTAATAGATTAAACAAATACAAATGTTAACCAAATGTTAAAGTCTTAATAAAACAGCATTTTAAATGCTTTTAAGTAGGTATTGGAAAATATGAAGAAAGACATAGATAGAATAAATGAAAAATTTCATTAATATGTTGCATTTCATGAATAAGAATCCCAAGTATGTGAATCATATTTAACCATAAAAGGTAGTAAGTGCTTAAAATAAAATGGTATTTTTTAGATAAGAGTGTCATACTTTAAATGAATAATGTAAATAATTGAAGCATAATGTTCAAACACTTGCAAAAGCAAATTAATTTTTAGAAAATGTATTTTATTTAAGTTTAATATTAGGAATTGATGTTTACAAAAGAAGCTCTATTAAAGTAAGTGTAGAAAAATGAGAAACTCAAATAAATAATTAAAAGATTCAAAGAATAATTGAATGAATATTCAGGTCTGAAAAACTAAAACCTTAAAATATAACCAACTGAACCAAAGATTTTCTAAGACTATTAATAGCATATCTAAACAAGTATAAAAAGAGGTAGATAAGATTCTTCTCATAATAAGAATACTTCATTTAATTCAATAACTAATTCAGACACCAAATCAAAATTTATATTTTCTTAATAGACAAGAGCATAAAGTCTATAAAAAAGTATTTTAGCCAAAAGATCTGCAATATTTGAAACTAGTCTTTTAGATAAATCTTAATAATAAAACCAAACATTTGAATACTCCAGATATCATTCTTTAAAATATGATAATGAAAATAATCAATGATATTTTTAGTGCAAATTTTTTTTTCCATTTTCTACAATTCAAAAAATATTCTTTTTCTAATCTTCAATTTGAATTTGAAATAATCTATCTGTAATTTGTTAATTTGTATATTTTTTTTATGAAAAAAACAAATTCTCATCATAAGTATTTTTTTCTATTTTTGAAATTTCTTATGAAAAATTTTGCAAGTCTTTATAAATAGTAAATTATATTTTTGTTTAATAAAGTGCAGAAATATATTAAGGATTCATTATATCATTTTCTATTAATGCTTATTTGAAATTAACTTTATTATAAGGACCTAATTGACTAATAAAGTATTAAGCCATTATAAATCCTAAAGTATTAAATTATTTCTATTAATTATTATAATGAATTTTATATTATTATCCAGAATTTTATAGTCCTATTCCAATTGATGTAAGAGATTATTAAATATCATTTTTATAATGATCAATCATTTTTTAAAGTGTTTGATTTAAATTAGTGATCATATCATAATAGTTCTTATTATTCCAATTTCTTTTTTTATCATCAATAGAAACTGGTTAAATATTTTATATTAGATTAATAATTGAACTAGTTATATTTAAATTAGGATGAGTTAAAGTAATTTAAATAGAATCATGATGTAATTTTGATTGTTTTATAGATAATGAAAAAGGTTTTTTTAATGGATGAACTTAATAAATTATACTATCATCTGTATATATTATTGATAGTAATATTTTCATAAATTCCATTATGTTCATAATAATTGATATTAATTTATTTTTATCTGTTTTAATTATCTCTTTATTAATTGAAAAATTAGTAATATCCATCTTCCTCTATTTATAATTAATTACCAAATTATCACATAGAGTTTTAAAAAATAATTCCATTTCTATATCTTAAAATTCATATTTAATTTATCTATACGATATTTTGTATAAATTCCATAAATTATTATTCAGATTATATAAATAATAACATTGTTACATTAATTTTTACAAATTTTATTGAATTGTAGTAAATTAATCTTTTTTTAAAAGAGGTGACTATTATAATTAACTATGAATTTATTAAATTAATTGCATTTATTAAGTAATTGATGATAGACTTACTTTTGAATTATACTAAAAATAATTTATATTAATACATATTACTAAATATCTCTTTATTCAATCTAATTGATGAATTAATCATATTTATCTTCTTTAATCTCTTCAAATAATAGAATAACTAAAGGTTCAAATGCTTTAAAATAAACTTAAGTAATTTTAAATCTATATTATTTTAAATTGATATCCTTCTCTAAATTTCCAAAGTATCTTTATACAGGATGATCTTCACTTTTTGATTTTAATATTTAGATTATTTCATTCTCTATTTTTATATTCTATGATGAACCATTAATTTCAAAATCAAATAAAGTTAATTTCCTCAAAAAATCTCTTAATGCTTCATTGTTTTAAAGATTAAATTTTTCTTTAAGATTTTTATTTATTTTTTCTATTTATAATTAAGCCACTAATTTATTATATTTAAGCACAACTACCCAAGATGGTAATAGATCTTCTATTACATTTTCATATTGTTCTTTAGAGAGTCCAGAGAGAAAGTTCTTTCTACTTATTATTTCATATTAATAGCGAAGCATTACTAAAATTAAAGTGATAAGACAATGAGAAATTATTGTAATTGCATCATATTAACTAAAATTATAAATACCTACAGCTTATGAGCAACAGAAAACAAAGGATTAAATTAAAAACTAACTTCCCTATAAATATATAACTAAATTTAATATCAATTTTATACGTAATTTAAGAGATGATGAATGTTAACCATAATACCAAAGATAATCTTCATATTCAAATAATCTAAGACTTTCACAAATTGCAGCCATTAATATTAAATTTAGAGTTAATAGGATTTCTTTATTTTACCAATATTTCTTCATAAAGAAAAACAATGCCAATTCTAATGCTATTCCAACACTTGCAAATATTTATGGTAATAACACCTCTTATAAATTATATTTTATTATTATTAATCCTAGATATATACTTAATATTCCATAAGTATATTCACGTCTATATTTAATTCCACTCAAGAGAGATTACCTATATATTTGCTCTATCTCTTGAGATGCAAATTATAAGCTATATGTATTAATCATTTTATTTCAATTAATTTTATATTTTTAAATTAATTAACCTTAAATTCTGTTTCTTAATGATTTATCTTTCTATTCCTTAACAACGTAAATTTTCATTACTTATAATGAAATTATATAATTGAAATCAAAATTTTAATAAGTCTATCTTCTTTGAAATTCTTTAAGAATATATTTAAAAGTCAATATTTAATGAAATTAGAATAAAATTGATTTTGTTTTGTAAATAAATTAAAGAAATTAAAGAAATTCTTATATAAAAAATGAATAGATAAAAAAATAAACTCATATAGTTTAAAATTTTATATAGAAAATTAAGAAACGATTATAAATAACTTATTTTCATTGTAATTTATTTGCAGTTTATTTAATTAAACTTAAGTATTGCAATATGTTTGTCTAAAATAAATAAAATTTATTATGAGTTATGAAACAAAGATAATTATGAATTATTCATATAATACATGTGATATTATAGGCAAAGGCTTTAGTTCTATTGTTTATAAAGGAATAAATATAAATACAAAGGATAATGTAGCAATTAAGGTAGCTAAAATCTTTTAATTTAAATAGGTAATCAATAGAAAGTTTTCAGAATAACTTCCAGCTATATAAAATGAAATACATATTCTTCAAAGTCTACAAGGACATCACATTCTTAAATTTTATGATCATTTTGCTTCAAAAAATAACATATATATTATCACTGAGTACTGTAAATAAGGAGATTTAGCATAGAAACTAAAATAGTAGGGATATTTCAAATAAGAATAAGCTATTGTTATGGTTAAATAAATAATAGACGGTATTTATGTGATGGCTTAATAAAGTATTGAAACATTATCATATGAGATATAATACATAGAGACTTGAAACCTTAGAACATTTTACTGAATGAATAGGAAGTGAAAATTGCAGACTTTGGTTTTGCTAAACCACTAAATAAATTGAAAAATGAAATGAATGTAGGCACTCCTATTTATATGAGTCCTGAAACTTTGATTAAATCACAATATAATAGCAAAACTGATATCTGGAGTCTTGGAGTTGTATTTTATGAATTGTTATATGGAAAACATCCATGGATAGCTCAAACAGAATAAGAATTGATATACAAGATACTCAATAAAAGTGTAAGTTTTCCTGATTTTCCAGTTGTATCTGATAATGTAAAAGACTTAATCAAATAGTGTCTAATAATAGATCCTTATATGAGATTAAGTTTGAATGATCTTATAAAACATCCTGTTATCAAAAGAAATTGTAAATAATTAGTAAAGCCAAATGAGACAGAGAGTACTGATCAAACAATTAAATCAGAAGTTCCTAATGTTTCTGATCCATGGACTTATAAGAATAGTGATAAAAAATTAGTTTAGATAAACTACAAAAATCCATAAATAAATACAATTATTTCAAAATATTTAAATACAAATTCTTCAAATAAAAAAGAATTTAAATAAATTAAAGATAATTAATCAAGTTTTGATGAAATCACATCAATTTTATAAAGTCAATTTAATTTATGTCTCTTTCTTAATATAATAATATCGAAATTAAGAGAACATAAATTAGAAACTCCATTATTAAATGAGAAATGCAGAATTATTTTATCAAAACATTTATAAAATATTAAAGAAAATATTTATAAATAATTAATTGAAGGTGAAAACAAATTTAAATTTAAAGAATGGTAACTCTATTAAAAGGAAAATATTTATAATAAATTCAGTGCAAAATTTATTCTTGAAAATGCATAATTTAATAAAACTATTAAAGAATATAATGAAATGGTAAAATCTAATAAATCATTAATTATTGAATATTAAAAATATGATTCTGAATTTTATTAGATATTGTTTGGATTAGAATGGAAAATAATCAGAAAGATTATTAAAAATTTGATTTTAGAATTTAATCATATGATAATTCAAAATATTGATTTCTTTAATCAAAATTATCAAATTACAAAAAACTAGTCAACAGAAATTATTTTATTATAATAATTATGTTATTATCTTGATATGATTGATAAATTCTTTATTAAAAATTTTGATTAATAAAAGTTTGCATAAGAATCTAAAATATAATAACATTTAAAAGCAAAAGAAATAAAGATGTCTGATTATTTAGAATTAAGATAACAAATAAAATTTTTAATGAAAAATTGATTTATTTATATTATTTTATTGGAACTATTTATAATTTGAGTAAATTCAATTTAATAATAGTAATTCATTTTTAAGCTGAATTTTTATAATCTGAGTATTTCTTTTGGTTTCGTAAACTACCTAATAATTATGAAACTATGTCTTCTTTATTAGACTTAACAGGAGTTTATAATTGATGAGGTTTTGCATTCAAAATCAATTTAAATTAGGTACTACTTTCTATTCTTTTATGTTTTGATAAAAGATCAGATTTCTTATTGACTAAGCTATTTACACTATCACTATTATAATTTATATGATTATATACGTTAGTTTAATTAATTTAGTACTATCAGGTTTATCGGTAGTAGATTATGATTAATGTTCAGGAACATAATAATTGTTATTATTTAATTTAATAGTTTTTTGATAGATATCTTACATACCTGTAGATGCTGATTTAAATTATGATCTTTAAGGTGTTTTCATATTCTCAATTTAATTATTGTTTGATTTAAAACAATTCTTTAGTGGATTGATTTGATTGAAATTTGGTTCAAATTTGAGTTCATTACGATCAGTAATAGATATGGTTCCTTCTCTTACTGATTAAATTTCAGATGGTCTAGGTTTATAATCACTTGATCTAAAATTTTCTGGTTTTACTGAAAGTCTTTAAGTAGATTTGGCATTTGATTTTTAACGAACTCTCTCCATAATTCTAGATGCCATTTCAGCCGCTTCCTATTCAATATTGACTTCAGGGTATTTATCACCTGAAGTTAAACGGCCATTAATTTACATAAATTTTATATGTTATTTTAATATCTAATGAAATCTAGTTCAATATACAATCTATTCTTTTAATAAAATCTTTAATTTTATTGTAATCAAATAATAAATAAATAATAAGAATCATATACATAGACTAAATTTTATTTGTATTAAATATTCATATGTTTCTGATGAACTTATGAATATTTATTATCCTTTATAATAATTAATATTAATTATTGTAATCATATCTCTTAAATATTAAATATTAAATTAATCATTAAGATATTTAAAATATTACTTAAATTTTAATCTAAATTAGAATATCCTATTATTTTCATACATAAAAATAGTTTATTTTCTTGCTATTATAATATATTATTACTTTAAAATATTTATTTACATTTTTATAAACAAATCTTTAAAATATTTTGAGATTGTATAATCATAAAAAATTTACTTTTAAGATTATTATTAAATCTAATTTAGATATTATATATATATATATCATTCTTATTATTCTTATTATTCTTATTCATTTTCTTTCTTCTATTCATCTTCGTTCTTCTATTCATCTTCGTTCTTCTATTCATCTTCCTCTTGATATGGTTCAACTTTGAAATATTCATCAGTTCCATTATCTTTCTCTGGAGTTGGTAGCCATCTTGGAATTTCAGCACTTTTATTGGTTTTCATATTATTAGAGTTATCATCTTCTTCTTTAATCATTTAATTAAATTCATCATGAGGTAAATTCTTTGCTTTTTCCAATTTAATTGCTAATTTCTTTTATACTTCTTATGATCTCATTAATTTCTACATCATATATGATTCTTCCATTTCCATCTTTTCTTAATATGCCTTATTTTATTCACATGCTTTTTTATTTTCTTATTTGGCTCTATTGTATATTTATTAAGTATATATACTTTTCATTTTCTTTTTAAATGTTAGACAATTTTTCATTCCAATAAAGAGAAATATTAGATTTAGATTTTTACATAATCTCTTTAATATGTTCTCTTTTTTCTTTATTTTTAAAAACAAAATCTTATTTTTGTTTATATATCATTTCAGCATTTCTTATTGATATTTCTCTAATGCATAATTTTATAGTGTTACTTAATTTTTTTATATTCCTCTATTTTAATTTATTCCATAGCTTTTTTAATCATATCTAGTTATTCTTCTTATTGTTTTTTTTTATCATAATTTAATTATTATTTCTCCTTTAATTATGCTTCATCATTTTTTTGATTAAACTTTTTCTAATAAAAAAGATATAAAGTTTCTTACTAATTCAATCTATTAATGATGATTCTTTTTTAATTCAATCATAGATTATGTTTTCTTTTTAGTTTCATCAATTCTCTTAGATAACTGTGCATCTCCTCTCTTTAATAATTTAAGACGATTCTTCATTAATTGAATATCTTTTTCAGTCTCTTATCTCAATTTTCTAGTATGCCAAACTGTTTCATCATTTTCCCTTTAAAATGATTAAGGAGATGTTTTCATTTTTTTATTTATTTAATGAATTTGGATTTTATATGTTTGAGAAAGCATTTATTCAAAGATACTTTATATCAAATAGATATCCAAAATGAATAACTTAGGTTAATTAATACTGTATAAAATAATACTAGTTAATTTAGACTTCAGGGAAACCTAAATATATTATCAGACTTGATTGGTCACTTGAAATTACTTGGAATATAACAAGTCAACAATAAGCTTTTGGATTAAAAGTCAATTAAAAGTTTAAATGGTTTCATGCAAAGCCCTAAATCATTTAAAATTTGAAGAAGTAATTACAAAAATATGTGACATCAACTGATTTTAATATGTTTTACACATTAACTACTCATTAATCTAAAGAATAAAATAATGAATATGAAGTCTTGAAAAAGAGTGATAATACAGCAAATTTAGTTGCTAGATGTATCTAGAAGGATTAGATAGATGATTAAAATATAATTTATGGAGAACTAAATATTCTCAAACTCTTAAATCATTAAGGTCTCCCAGTTTTTGAAGAATTCTTCTTTACTTCTGGAACTTATTATATAATAATGGAAAAAGTATAAGGGGAAAAATTAAGTACAATTGTCAACACTTCTAAATTATAATTAAATCTTCGTTTAATCTAATCAATAATTATAGAATGTTTATAGATATTACAATATCTAGAATCAATTAATGTAATGCATAGAGACATTACACCAGATAATTTACTATATGAATAGTAAAATAAAAAAAAGGGTGTAAAATTAATTAATTTCAGTAATGCAGCAAAACTAGGAACTGAACCTAAAAAGTGTGGTACTCCAGGTTATATAGCACCAGAGATATTTTTAGATTAATAATATGGATGTGAATGTGATATGTTTTCCTTAGGATGTGTATTTTATAAATTGTAAGATTCTACAATATTACTAGATTAGCAAAAAAAGATTTATTTCAAGGAACTAGTGTTGTAGATGTATTATCAGAAAATAAAAAGTGTGTTATCAATCTTAAAACCTTATAATTAATTAGAATTCCTTAAATTGCTTAAGATTTATTGAATCAAATGCTTGAGACGAATCCTAAACTAAGAATCTCAGTTTAAGATGCTTTAAAACATCCATTCATTAATGATCCATTAAAACCAAATGCCTCAAATCAAAATAGTTAAAAAAATTTTAACCAAAACAGATCAGAAAGATATCTAATTAAAAAAGAGCTATAGAGTTTACATAGTTAAAAACAGAAATTAGATGAGGATCTTGATGTTGATTACTTTAATAATGAATTACCTCCAAAATGTGAAATTCCAGTGATGAATTCAGTTAAAGGAGGACAAAGATTTAGGTCTGATTGCATTGAAGAAATTGATACAAAATTTAGAAGGGTTGTTTCGAAATCAACTGGCTGATTTTTATAATAATATCTGTATTTATTATTCTCATAATTTGTTATCTTTTAATATTTTACTATTTGAAGATTATATTACATACTATAAGTATTTACTATTTGTGTAATCAATTCAATTGATCCCTTGATTAAGATTAAAAATAAAATTGTATAATAAAAGTCTTTCATTTTATCATCTTAGAAAACTTAAAAAATAAAGAAAGAGTAATTTTAACTATTAAATTGAAAGATCTAAACCTAATAACAATGGAATATAAAACTCTTTTTATTTTATTGATTAATTGCTCTGATAATTATATATTCATCAAAATTTAATCATTTTTAACATTTCAGACAATTTATAGAATAATTGGTGGGATACATCACAAGATATATTTCAAGACATTTCATACAATATCTATAGCTAGGCAATTGGATTCTTGCTGGATGAGCAATACTTCCATGACATTTAGTACATGGATAGGCTTTATTACAACATCCAAAAATTGGAATAGTATTACATTAGACTCTATGACCACATTCTTCGGTATATATTTTATAAGGAAATGTCAAAAGTAGTTTTTCTCTTTCTTTCTCTTTTTCATATTATTTTTTTTCTTTTTATTATTTTAAGAATTATTCAGCCTTATTAAGCTTATCATTTTGTTTCTTAATTTATTCATCTTTTGAATTATACTCTTAATTTTATTAATCCATTATCTTTTTCAAAGTTTCTTATTATTATTATTCTTCTTCTTAAATTACAGCTAATTATGTAAAAATTGGTTCTCGCATTTCTTTAACTTTCTTTTCTTTTTATTGATAATAATTTAATTTGTATTCTAGGAATTCTTTACTTTTTGGATCTAAGAATACTAATTTATTATTTTCATCTAAAAGATGACTGAGTTCAACTTCTAATTATTTTTTATATTCATTCCAAGATTTTTCAACTTAACTTATTTTTTAACTTAAATAATTATTTGTTTCTTATTTCATATATTCCAATTATTAAATATGTTTACCTTATATAAAATCTAAACTTTCCTTTAATTCATCTTAAGACATCTCATATATATTTTTAGAACCTAAATTAATTATATGATTAATTAATTCTTTTTCTAATGGATTCCATTCTAATTACTAATTCATTGATTACAAAATATTCTTTTCTATAAAAAACAAACGATCTAATAGATATTATTTAAGTTAATCAAAATAAAATTTGATTTCTTATGTTTTATCAGGTGATTTTAAGATTGTTTCACTTAAATTTATAAACTATATTATTATTCACTATACTTTTACTTGCTTTTTTTTATCATCAAATAATTTACAGAAAGTCTGTACTTCCATTATCTAAGTAGAATGATCATTATGTTATTCTACTAAACAATATGAACAACCTATTCTACTATCAGCCTTGCAATCTGAAAATTAACAAAAGTATAACATTTTATTATTTTCATGATTTCTCTTATGACATACAGCCTCCATATTCAAACCCATCACTTTTATNTTAACTATTAAATTGAAAGATCTAAACCTAATAACAATGGAATATAAAACTCTTTTTATTTTATTGATTAATTGCTCTGATAATTATATATTCATCAAAATTTAATCATTTTTAACATTTCAGACAATTTATAGAATAATTGGTGGGATACATCACAAGATATATTTCAAGACATTTCATACAATATCTATAGCTAGGCAATTGGATTCTTGCTGGATGAGCAATACTTCCATGACATTTAGTACATGGATAGGCTTTATTACAACATCCAAAAATTGGAATAGTATTACATTAGACTCTATGACCACATTCTTCGGTATATATTTTATAAGGAAATGTCAAAAGTAGTTTTTCTCTTTCTTTCTCTTTTTCATATTATTTTTTTTCTTTTTATTATTTTAAGAATTATTCAGCCTTATTAAGCTTATCATTTTGTTTCTTAATTTATTCATCTTTTGAATTATACTCTTAATTTTATTAATCCATTATCTTTTTCAAAGTTTCTTATTATTATTATTCTTCTTCTTAAATTACAGCTAATTATGTAAAAATTGGTTCTCGCATTTCTTTAACTTTCTTTTCTTTTTATTGATAATAATTTAATTTGTATTCTAGGAATTCTTTACTTTTTGGATCTAAGAATACTAATTTATTATTTTCATCTAAAAGATGACTGAGTTCAACTTCTAATTATTTTTTATATTCATTCCAAGATTTTTCAACTTAACTTATTTTTTAACTTAAATAATTATTTGTTTCTTATTTCATATATTCCAATTATTAAATATGTTTACCTTATATAAAATCTAAACTTTCCTTTAATTCATCTTAAGACATCTCATATATATTTTTAGAACCTAAATTAATTATATGATTAATTAATTCTTTTTCTAATGGATTCCATTCTAATTACTAATTCATTGATTACAAAATATTCTTTTCTATAAAAAACAAACGATCTAATAGATATTATTTAAGTTAATCAAAATAAAATTTGATTTCTTATGTTTTATCAGGTGATTTTAAGATTGTTTCACTTAAATTTATAAACTATATTATTATTCACTATACTTTTACTTGCTTTTTTTTATCATCAAATAATTTACAGAAAGTCTGTACTTCCATTATCTAAGTAGAATGATCATTATGTTATTCTACTAAACAATATGAACAACCTATTCTACTATCAGCCTTGCAATCTGAAAATTAACAAAAGTATAACATTTTATTATTTTCATGATTTCTCTTATGACATACAGCCTCCATATTCAAACCCATCACTTTTATAATTGAACGTTCATGCATATTTTACATCTTCTATTTTGATAAGATTTGCATTTATTTTTTTTAGTGATTTTACACTAAAGTCTTTGATGAGTATGTTGCTTTAGAACTATATAAGATATTAATTAGTTTACCTTAAAGATGAATTTTAAGCCAAGGGACTTGCTGAACTACGGAATGATTATTACGTTTTTAGAAACTCATTATTTATTTAACTTTGTGTCAATTAATCTTCAGTCTTAACATTCATTATAGGACTTGTAGGTGTTTTTTTAGATTTGCGAACAGAAGGCTCAGTTTTAGAATGGTATGAGGATTACTTTTTCATTTTATTTTATTATTTTTTTTATGTTAAGATTGCAAATATAGCGAGTAAACTATCTTAGAGAATTTTACATTTAATAATAATTTTTAGAAAATTTAATTCATCATCATTTCAATAATAAGGTTTTCTTTAAGAAAGTGATTTTTTACCAAGAGCCCACCCTTAATTTGTTTTAAAACTAGAAACGAAATACTTCCCTCTCGAATTAATACTTCCTGGTAATTCATAATCACCAGGACCTGGAGTTACAATTGACTTTTTAATGAATTCACATTACTTATTTAGCATTACTGTTTTTCAGAGGACTAAAGAGAGTTGCACAAGCATTTTTAAATTTGGAGTTAGTATAATAACCATATTTATCTAATCCTTTGATTTCATAACTTCCCAAAGGAGGAGCTTCAAATTTATAAACTAATAAAATATTATCACAATTACCTTTTTGATTGAGTCTTACACCCATACTATAACTGATTGGTGTTTCAGGCTATTAAGTTGTATAATGACCAGGTCCTGGAGTTTCTAATTATTTTTCAATTGGCTAGGATGTACAAGAAATAAAGTTACATTTCTACCCAAACCAAAAGTATAGCCTTTATTTTTTAAATGGGAGAATTTAAGAATTCTAGCCCTTTTCTAGAGTTCTTATTGTTTACGCTCATTAAAAAAATCTAATCTCTAATCAATGTTATCTGGTATTCCCTATAATTACTAATTCATTTTTATGAAATAATTAATTTAAGTTGATGATGAAAAAAAATAAATTTCACAATTCAGCTGGTTTAGATTTATAGAGAACTACAATAATTATCAAAGTTGGTAGTTCAAATAAATTCAATATTGTTATTCATATAGCCTTGATTTGATCTTCTAATCAACAAAGGAGAAATCAAGAGAAATTCCATTTAACTCTTTATCCCCCTTCTAATGTATTTTATTTTAATAATTCTTATCCATCCTAATATTATAATTAAAATAGTAATTGATTTTATTGCTAATTCAGTTATTCTAATCCGAAATTTAAATGATTCCAATCTGTCTCTTATTAATTCAGTTAATTATACATATTGAATTTAGTTGTAGAGTTTGACTACTTTTATTCAAAGTATTATTTTGCAATTTATTCTATGATGATATTTCATATCTTTAGTCCATTAAGAAGTTTTCATCATTTAATGTTCTCTAATTTAATAGAAACAGTGGTCAAATAATTTGAAATCTTTCACTCAATAAAAATAGTTATAAACTACTAAATATGGATTAAATTACAATATCTTCTTGTAATTTTATGTTTATGTTCCGATGTATCTAAATTATATACATAAGCTCTTAATATTGTTTTGAATGTTTGAAATTTTTTATTGTATATAGAATTTATGGAAAAAGATAAAATGCAAAATTTATCTTTTTCTCTATGTTTTTAATTATAAAAAATAAGTAGGCTTAGCTATATTTACAATTTAATGATTATTTTAATATTGATATTTCATTTTTAAAAAGATTATACTTTATTTGTTTGAGGATTCTCTACCTATTAATCCTATTTATATAGTTTACCAATTGTGTAATTTACTCTTTTGTTAAAGGGATGATTCTAAAGCTAAGATACTCTAAAAATTAATCGTGTGATCCTTTCGCTGCAATGAAAGTATGATTTGGTATATAGTAAGAGAATGCTGAACCTATAGGTGATCCACAAATAACCTTCTGACCTTTGTATGTTTTGAATCCAAGTTAATTAATTGTAGTATTTGCATACCCATAGATTTCTTGTATACAATCACCTGATAATATTTATTTTTTTACCTTTATCTATTTTAAACTTCTCAAAATATACTCCAAATACTTTAAACTTTCTACTACTTTAACCAACAATAGTTTTCCCATCCATCCCTCTGTATTTTATTTTGATTCCTAAAATACGCTCTTTTGTATATTGAATTTTAATCATAGAAATTGTTATGGGTTTAGCTAAAGTATCCATTTTTTCAAGATCATCAAAATAATTATGATTTTGATTTTCTATACCTATATGGATTTCATTATTTAACATTATTTAAGATTTTATTATAAAATTTTTTATATTTTGAATAATGGCTTAATAATTTCAATGATGATGACCATGTTTTTTTACTATAACAACTTCTGGGCCATGATGATGATGATTATTATTTGCCATAGCTGCTCCAATCAACGCGCCTCCAATAAGTGCTCCAGCAACGGCACCGCCTCCACCGCTTTTTTAAGGAGGGGGAGGAGGGGCTTGCTACTCAATGATAACAGTAGTATTTTATGGTGGTGGATATTATCCGGGAGGATACTAAACAGGTGGTGGATATTATCCTGGAGGAGGATATTATCCAGGAGGAGGATATTAACCAGGTGGGGGATATTATCCAGGAGGAGGATATTATCCAGGTGGTGGATATTATCCAGGTGGGGGATATTATCCAGGAGGAGGATACTATCCAGGAGGAGGATATTATTCAGGTGGAGGATATTATCCTGGAGGAGGATATTAACCAGGGGGTGGATATTATCCAGGAGGAGGATATTGTCCAGGCTATGGAGGTGGGGGATATTATCCTGGAGGAGGAGGCTAAGTGACTTATGTTACAACAACATTCACATTCCCTTATTGTTAACTCAATCCCTAAGAATATTACTATATTTATTACCAATTTTTTTATTTAATCAGGAGTAAGTGGAACTACTCTAAAGGCTATAAAGTCTAAGAACTTATCATAAGAGCCTCTTGCTGAGGAGAAAGTATGAAGTGGGAAGTGGTGAGAGAATGACACTCCTTTTGCTACTCCGCATCTATGACTTACTCCTTTGTATGTTGTAAATCCGAATTGATTGATTTCTGTACCAACATATCCATGTATTTCCTTAATGTAATCATCTAAAATATTAAAATATAGTATTACCATCGGCAATATTGTATTTTTCTTTTTTTGTTCCAGAGAATAAGCCTCCAAGCAATTTGAATTTCATTGAGCAAGTTCCTTTTGCTACTCTTCCATCAATTCCTTTGTATTTTAGCTTAACTCCTGTTACATGATCTTTGTTATATTAGATCTTGATCATGGAGATTTTAGCAGGATTAACCAACTTTTAGGTCTCGTAAATGTCATCGAAGTGTTTATGATTGGCCCTTTCAATACCTATTACTACATCTGGGATATGAAGCATTTTAATAATTATTGATTTAAATGATTTAGTTTAGTTTCCACAAATATCAATCACATTTTATTCCATAAAATATGATGTACATAAATTAAAAATATTATAGAATATTGATTAAAACAATCTTAAAGAAGACTTCAACCAAAAGACACTCTATTTTATAAATTTATTTATAACCATAAAAATATATTATTACGCAATTTTAGTAATTTCTTAATGGGAAATTGTATTTTTAAGTTCTAGGTGGATAAATAAGGTAAGGAAATGAAATAAATTTAGCTTAGGATATTATTAAATAAGAGAATGAAATTATAGATTAAGCAATCAAAGAGGGGAATGTATAATAATAAACAACTTCTATATAACCAAAAATAATTTACAAATAAATTAGTGGCTTCAATTAAGAAAGCTCTGAAGGTTAAACACCAAATGTATTTAATTCTTAATGTTCAAATCCTAAAATAAAATATCAAAAAGATTTATCACTATCCCCAGATTTATTAATCAGAAGATAGAAAGAAGGTGAGAAATTTTTATTCCATTATGAAATAATAAAGAAATTAGGATAAGGAGGATTTGGATAAGTATATTAAGTTAGACATTTAAAAACAAAATTGATTAGGGCAGCAAAGGTTATTGTTAGATAATCAGTTGAGAACGAAACTCTATTATTATAAGAAACTGAAATACTAAAAACTTTAGATCATCCAAATATAGTTAAAATTCTTGAAATTTTCAGTGATAATCAACATTTCTATATAATCACTGAATGTTTAGATGGAGGTGAACTCTTAGACAGAGTTAGAAGAATTACAAATTACTCAGAAGAGATGGCAAAAATTTATATGAAATAAATTTTGTCTGCCATGATATATTGTCATGAAAGAAAGATTGTCCATAGAGACCTTAAAGTATTATATTTTTGATATTTGCAAGCCTGAAAACATTTTATTTGATAATTTAGATATCAATTCGAATTTAAGGGTTATAGACTTTGGAGCAAGTGAGAAGATGATGTCTAAAAAATTGACTACTAAAATTGGCACTCCTTATTATTTAGCACCTGAAATTCTTAGATCTAATGGATATGATGAAAAAGTAGATGTTTGGTCATGTGGTGTGATACTTTATATATTATTAATTGGAAAGGCTCCATTTAGAGGAAAAAACCAATATGAAACTTTGCAACTTGCTTAATAAGCAAAAATTGAATTTAATGGTACTTTATGAATAAAGTATTAAAAAGCATAGATTCTAGAAAAGATAAGTTCAGATGCTATTGATTTGATTAAGCTCATGATTGAAAAAGATCCAAATAAAAGAATTTCAATAAAAGATGCAATGAGTCATAGTTGGATTTAAAACTAATCTGAGAAAAGTTTAACTTTTGACTAAGCTTTTTTTAGAAATATCACATAATTTAAAGGGTATAATAATTTAAGAGTGGCAATATACTAATTTATAACAGTTTAAACAGTGAAAAAAGAAGAATGTGAAAAATGTTTAGAAGCTTTTAAAAGACTTGATAAAAATGGAGATGGTGTATTATCTGAAGAAGAAATACTACAAGGAATGCTCATGGTTAATATAAATTAATTATCATCTTAAAATATGATAAAAGATATTATGAGTTAAATGGATACAAATGAATCTGGTAAAATAGATTTTACTGAATTTATTACTGCTTCTGTTTTGTAAGAAAAACGATTATTAAAAGATAGTCTAAGAGCAGCATTTAGATTATTTGATTTAGATGGAAATGGTACAATTTCAAGATCAGAAATATAAGAAATATTTGGTGGAATTTAAATTGATAATAATGCATGGTAAGAAATCTTGACATCTTGTGATGATAATAAAGATGGTTTAATTGAAGAGAATGAATTTCTTGCATTATTAGAAAATTTATAATGATAGATAATTAATCGTTTATATATATATATATAAATCTTAATGAATTATTAATGATCATCTCCTTTTTTATGGTTATTTAGGAGGAATCTTTGATTTTTAAGCACAAAAAGGAATATGCCTTTCAGCTGCTTATTAATTAAAGCTTCTTCCACAATAGTTGCATTATGTTAAATTTGATTTGCTTGCCTCATTCATGGCATTCTATATTACTAATAAATTTCAACCTTTTAATCATTTGTCAACTTTCCACCTTTTGCAGCAATTATAGCAGCTCTGAAAGCTTCAGATTGTTTTTTCCAGTTTTATTTTTTAGCTGAAATAATAGAATAAATAAAAACCTAAAGCTTTTTCATATTTTTATTCAATTCTATCTTAATTTTTAATGTGATTCATTTATTCATTACTTATAATTCTATGTTTTTGTGCATCGAATTATTTTCTTTATTTTTGAAATACTTTAATACAAATCTTTTCATGTTTTTATAAAGCAAGTTTTGCAAAAGATCTTCCACATCCTTTTGAGCATTCATATAATGGTTCAGGATTTGGAATATTTATATTAGGAGTATTTTCACCTTTCTTAATTGGTATTTCATCAATTGGATTATAGTATTATTATTATTATGGTTGAAAAGTGGGTTATTAATTATTTCTAAGATTACTTGATTATTTAGTATTTGCTGATTACTTATTTGATTGAACAGGTGGTTTTATTGATTAATTAGAAGGTTTATTATATCCATTAGATTAATCATATGTTCCTGAGGGTGGTCTATATTATTATTGTTTTTAAACAGGTGTAGGTTATTTAACATTATATGTTTATTATTATTATTATTATTATTTAAGTTATCCATATTATCTATTTTATTAATAATCATAATCATCTTCAATTTTGCCATATTATTATCTATTCTATTATGCTTAATTCATTTAAGGCTTAGATTAAATACCTTATTAAACTTTTCTTGATCCCTCTTAACTAGGTGGTTTATTATTTGTAAATTAAGTATTTTAATTATATCCATACTTATCATAAGATGGTTAGGGTTGTTGTTTTCCTAAAGAAGATTGCCTGTTAGGCTAAACATTTTGATAAGCAATATCATTCATTTAAAATTACTATTGACCAAATTATGGTTACCGTACATTATTATTACCTAAATCAGCTTAATAATATTATTTTTAAGAATTTTAACTTGGAGGTTTATCATAATCTTTGGATACTTTATATAAGTACCATAATTTGTTTTAGTACCTAAAGCCATTTCTCCAGTTTAAGCTAATTTTCGTTCTGCTCTCATCTGAGCTGCTTTTTCCATTTGCTCCTTCTTTTTCATAGCCCATTGATTTGCTTATTGAGAAGCATTAGAGGTTGGCTTCATGAAATTTCTTTTATTATTTTTTAATAATTTTTAACAGATAATGAGTGAATCAATTTCATCTTCAGATTCAGAAGAAACATCATTTGTATTAACTGAATAATAAAGAATTTTAAAAAGTTCAAACATATTCAAATAGAAGGAACAAAGTAATAACAAATGTTCAAAACATCCAAATAAAAAAGTAAATGTTATAAATGAACTAAGGCAAAATACTATGTATAATGTGATAAAACTAAATAATTTTGTTCTAAATGTGCATTGACTTTAGCATTGAAAGGATTAAAAATTGAGGAGACATAAGAGAATTAGCATGAAGTTCTAAGATAACAACGGATAAATCGTTTTTAAGAACTATTGTAATAAATAATGGAATAATGCACTTATAAATCTTAGGAATTAAGTAACATAGAGACAATATCAAGTAAATAACTTTTGGAACATCAAGAAAGTTGTTAATAATTCTTTGATTCTGTTATATAAACTGCAAATTAATTAAAATAAACTTATTTATAGAAGTTCCAAAATGATCATCATATGTTATTGAACTCCATTCAATCTAAAGCTAATTAAATTAAATAGATAGATGCATAAATAAAGTAATTTTAGATAGATATTGAAAAAAATCATAACAATATAGTTAAGAAAATGGATATGAAACCATTTGAAGATATTATGAGTAGATATGAAAAGAGAGTTCTTTAAACAAAAGAATAGTTATAAGAATGTACTTAAGAATTTTAAGCAAAACCTATTAAATTTGAACAAAGTCAAATTTTAGCAGATATGAATAAAATGTGTTACAATATCTTATTATTAAAAAGTGAAGATTCATCAACATCTGATAATCATTCTATATAAATAAAATTAGAAAATAGTCCAAAGATTAGATAGAATACCAACAATTCTCCTGTAGATATGAAAGTGTTTGAAATGTTAGAGGCAGAAGATATATATTAGAGTACTTATTCTAATCCAATCAAGGATCATACATAATCTCCAATTAGAATTCTTTAATAGCAATAATAATCATCATAATAATAAATTTAAAAATCAAAATCAAAATCAAATACTTATTCTAATCCAACTTCCACAATATAAAATTCAAGAAGAGAAAGTAGAACTAATACTCCAGAGAGCTGGTAATAAACAACTTATATTCAAAAAAATAATCAATTAATTACTCAAAATGAAAGAGAAAGTTATAAACATAATATTAGTGTAGGAGAATAATTGAATTCATAAAAATATTTAAATAAATAATTGGAATTGAATGAAAAATATTATGTGTAAAAAAATGAAAAATAAAAAACCTCTTCTGAATTTGATAAAAATAATGAATAATCTAATTAATAATTAATAAATAATTTAAATTAGTTGTATATGTAAAAACATAATAATAAGGATACAGATAGGAAAAGTTTTGAAGATGGATTATAATTAACACCTAAACATTAAAAAAATATGACAACTGCAGGTCCTTAAACTTTTAAATTACTTACTAATCATGCTAGTTAAAGATGTAAAACTATTTTATTATATCTAAGCTCAATATTAATATCCTTAAGTGAATAATAATTTATTTGAACAAAAAAGTTAAAAAGAATTTTCAAAAACCAATTATGATTCTTTACCTAACTAAAAATCATTAACTCCACTTCATTAAGAACCATAATCAAGAAATAATTAATAATTAAATTAAAAGATTGATAGTCATTAAAATAGAAGATCTAATTCCAAATAACCAAAATAGCCTTCTTTTGATCAAATTGAAGGTAAAAGGTAATTTATCATAGCAAATATTAATTCTTAATAATATACTTCATAACCTAGTTAATATGTTCAAAATGAAGATACTTTAAAAGATAGAATTCTTAAAGAATTATGTAGTCATCCTGGAGAATCTATATATAATTAGGTTTTAAAATTAAATAGTTAATAAAAATAGAAAAATCAAAAGTTAATCTCAAAAGAGAATGTTGAATAATCAACAACTGTTAGAAATAAAAATAACAATGGATTTTTATGTGTTAAGAAATAATCTTATTAACAATGAATATAAATTATATTATTAGTTTTAAGCATTTAATAGAAATTTATTTAATATTTATTACAAATAATCAAGATATTTAGAATCGAATAATAATAAAAATAATCAAATCAATTATAAAAATGAATTGATGGAAAGAAGACTATGTAGATTTAAATAGCAAATAAGATATTATTTATTCTTAAATCATACTTCTGCTTAACAGATGGGACATTTCTTTTAATTTAGAAGCCATTTTTTAATACATTTTGAATGGTATTAATGTCTACACTTTAATTCTCGGATCTTTTCAAATTTCTCAATCTCATTATAACAAATTGTGCATCTAATTAATTAATTAAATAATACGGGTCTTTTTATTTTTGGTTAACTTATCTCTTTGGTATTTTTTTGATTTCTTATTTAGTAAGTCCTTTTGAAACATGTCCAATTTAATCTTATAATTCTAATATTTATTCATAAGTCATTCCATCTGTTTAGAATTATGCTTGAGGCATCATTGCTTCTTGAATAAATTCATAATATTAGGAATATCTAATTTGATTTTATAATTCTTGAATCATTAAAAAATTTTAAGAATGCCTACTCATCAACTATTAAAGAGTTTAATATTTGGATTATAATTTTTTATAATCCTCTTATAAAACTTTAAATTATTCTTTAGTTGCTAACAGTTCAGATTTAAGTAATTCATTTTCCTAATAAATAATTATAATCTACAATAACCTTTCTCAATTTATCATCATTACTAACAACTATTTTTTACATTTATTGTTATTGCTATGGTTTTATACTATCCTCTCTTATTTGTCTGGGTACTAATGTTTGGGCTTTATGAGCAGGATTAGAAATTCTAAACAGTTTTTATCTCTAATCATTCTTATTATCCATTTCTTACAACAAAAAATAATTAATATAATATTTTAATATTCTTTGCTTTAATAAGTTTAATATAAGTGATAATAATATATATATATATTTTTTGATTATTGTTCAATATTAAATATATTATTCTAAAGAATTCTTTATGAAAATATAATTGGGCAAAATCATAATCTTAATAAAATTATAAAAATAATTATATAAATAAAGAGAAATAATCAAATTTAATGTTTAGAAAAATGATTGTTAACTTTAGTATCTATCCAATTATAAAATTCCTAATTTTCAAGATATTTTGGATACCAAGGAGTTTTAATGAAATTTTATGTAATTTTTTACATTTTTTCAAATAATGTACTTGCCATCTAATATATTAATTTATTAATACTTTTCTAGCTACAAGTGCTACCAAAGCTTTTGGAATGTATCTACATTATGGATCTGAATTAGTAATAGCTCTAACTCTACATTTATTATCACTAAGAGGAGTCAATTCAAAAACATAATAATTAAGTATCAAGTTTACAAACTTTCCTTTATCTTTTGATAAATCAATATTATGTAATTTAAGAAATTCAGGATCATTATCAACAGATTTACATAAAAAAACAATGGTTCCATTTATATTGAGTCTATCAATACCTTCTCCAACAAAAACTGCTTTTCTATCTGAGATTAAGGGAAAATAAACTTAAATATCACAAATTTTGCAACATTTTCCAATCCTTTTAGGCATTGATGATCTAACACAAAAAGGAACATAATTTTAATATAGTTCAATTTCATTAATTAAAGCCATTAATTTAGTAATATTGGCTTCAAAAACAGAATCCATAAAAAGAGTTACAGTTGAATTTTTAGAGTCAATTTTATATTTAATAACTAATGATTTAGTGTTTTTTTCAATAACCCAACCATCTGATTCTAATTCATTTAGATTAAGTTACATAGTGGCATATTTATCTTGTATCATATTAATAAAATTTGCATAATTTTCATAGAACCATTATTCTAAATGTTGATTATTTTAAATTTCAACTTTAGCTTATTGTATAACATAATATGCCTAAATATATAATGTATAATTACGTCATCTAATTAAGCTTCATTAAAATAATAATTTTGAGATTGTTCCATTCTTTATTCAATAACAGATTTTAAATCAGTTTAAGGACTTCTTTCAAAATTAATTTAAGAAATGTAACTCTTTTCATCAAATTCTTTAATGACTTTAAGTTTTAATTCATCATCTAATTCAGATATACTATGAACTCTATCTCTATTTTAATTAACCATTAATGATTAAGAACCAGTCATAATAAAATCATGTTTGATTGGTTATTCATCAAGTATACAACTAGCTGCTTTTTTTTCAATTTATGGTTTTTTATATTTTTATTTTATCAATTTAGGTAGAGCTTGTATTTTGATTGGATGAATGACTAAGATAGATGTATATAATATATACATTCATCATATTCAAATAACATCTCTTATATTGTAGTATCTTCTGTAGCTTTCTTCTAAAGATTTTTAAATGATTCATAAATCTAAATATATATAGAAAGTACTTCATCTTAATGTGATAATGATCTCATTTATTGATTTAATTAAACCTAAAATGTTTAATAAAGAGGATATATAAATTAAGAGTGATTAAATGCTGTATATTCTGAAATGATAGTTTCAAACTAATTTATTAATAAAAATAATGCTACATAAAATTGTAACATCTCTAGTCTCTATTAAGAATTTAATTGTTCATAATCTCTGGGAATTTCAATCATTTTTTTGTGTAAAATATTATTGATTTTAAAATTAATTCCTAAATTCCTTAAAAAAATAGAATTAGAATTTCCGATTTTCTTTAAATTTCAATTTATAAATCATTAATTTAATATACACATAATATGTTATTCAGAAGGCTCAACAATGTCTTAATTATTCTCACATAAAAGATATGTGCCTATATTAATCTTATACTCACAAATTTCTTCTTCATAAATTGATAGAAATCTCATTAAATCTCCAGGATAACATTATAATTAAACTATACTTTTTCTAGTAGAATTGATA